AGATAGAGCACCTTGTCTTGATAGCGCCCACGGGCCAAGACGTACCTGTTGTCGAGCTCCGGGGCGTGTTCTAGGAACGGCCGTCGTTGCGTTCACATGTATTCCGAATGGTGCGCAATCGTGGAGGGCACTCGGTCCACCAGCTCCACTAATGCATGTAGGAGGACTCTCGGTACGCAGGAAAGCCCATCGTATGCGTGCTAATTCTATCTATCCGGTATGAGTGCACTGCCATCTCAAAATGGGGATGGCGGCCGAGGCACTACCCATGTAGAGACATGCTTGACGGCCGCCATTGTTCCTCCAGTCGCATAGCCACGCGCGACCGTTTGCTTGCACTAGCTCTCTCTGCCTCGCTGGCGGCAAAATTTCGATGACATTTGCTGCGACCAAATTGGGTCTCTTACAAAGTTATAAAAGGGTTCCTACGACATGTACACTATTGTTTTCCGAGCGCGTTTACGCCTGGCGCTGCTTGAACTCGGCGTACGCTTCTTCGCGCGTGATCGGGTTGAGCTTCAGAGTCGCGACCGTGACGCGGTGCGAGCGGAACGCGGCACCGTCCTGCTCGTCGCGGTGGAAGATCGCGCCGCGCTTCTCCTTGGAGAAGGTGACGTCGGGGCTGTTGGAGAGGTACCGGATGCCGGCAAAGGTCGACATGGACATGGCGAACGTGATGATGCCAATGATCGGGTACGTAGCCGGGTCGGAGAACCACGTCTTGATGACCGTCTGGGAAGCGCGCGCAGCCATGGTGGTAGTAAGAGTGTCTTGGTCGAAGCAAAAAGCAAAGTGAGCGAAGCCGCCGCCAGTGAGTCGGCGGCGGCTAAAGAGACACGCAGTCGTGGCGCCAAGAAACGCACTCTACAAAAACACGTCGCGCCGGATACATCCGGATAATGCTGGGCGCGCAGGCTGCCACGCGTCAAGGACGCGTGATTTTAGCCACTTTTTTGTATCCCGCCCATGACAGCACGGGACGGCCGCGGCGCTTGAAGGCAAGATCGACATAGACGTGGCGTTCTACCGCGGTCCAGAGCGTGCACACGACGTTTATCAGAGCGCGCCTTTTCAGGTCGGACGCACGCATGCGTTATCAACGGGACCAGAAGCATGGACATTGTTGTCGTTTGTGCAACCGACTCGAACGACGATGCTCGCGTCATCAACGACGACAAGTTGTCGAAAGTGTCCATGCCTCACCACCGTACATTGTCATCTGGCGTTGCACGAATGTACAGTATGTCCAGTAAGGACGATGCACGCGCAGGCGTCATCTTCCGATGGTCAGTTACATGGTGCGACATCATCCGCACCATAGAACCATAACGACGACACGTTGGGAAACTGGCATACACATGCAAGGTAGACATGTTTTAGCATTATATGCATAGACCAAGAACCATGCAAGCACTACGGAGGTAGAGAATCAAGTGTGTGGGAAATGGAAAGCACGATGAATACACAACAGCACGCTTCTTTATACAGAGCGCATGCTAGCTTGCAAGCCATGATTGAAGGCATTTCGATGCAGCGCAATTTCACGCGTTTGGTCCCAGCAACCAGTTCAACGACCCGCGGGGCCGCGAGCCTTCCTGCGCGCTACCGCACCATTCAACGACGCCTGTATGATCGCCAGCGCTCTTCCAAGCATGAGCGGAAAGCTTCGCCATGCTTCGGTTTGTCGGCAGTAAACAGGTCGTTTACAATCTTGGTTGGCGCGCTCGCGGTATCCGGATGCGTGTCAAACCTCGCATACAAATAATAAGTCACGATTCAAACATACTGCATTATCCGGAAGATCGCAAGTAAGCAACCCGATTACATTGGCGCCAACGCGCGTGTCTTTAAAGACAGCATCGTCGTCGTCGGCCGGGCCAGTCGCAGTTCTTCTTTGGCTTTAAACTACCTCTCTTGTCATGGCGGCGCGCGCCAAAACCTCGCTCCGGGCGTGGCTCTCCGACCCGTCGACTTACCCGATCATTGCGATCGTGTCGTTTGCAGCGAGCATGGCGACGTTCCACGGCGTCCGGTACATTCGAACGAGCCCCGATGTGTCGATCAGCAAGGAGCGCCGGAGCGACCTCTTCCACCGCAACGACGAAGAGGGCAGTGCATTCCGCGCCCATCGTGTCAACCTCGCCCACCTCAAGTCCAACCGCATCACGCAAGAAAAGGATTTTGCGACCTTTCGCGAGCGCCAGTCGAGCGACAAAGCCAATTGATTTGTAACAAAGCATGTACACGTTGTCCATCGTACGTCCTTGGTCGTCGTCTCGACTAGAGGTTGAGGTCGTAGTGCTGGCCCGTGAGGCGGCGGTACGTGTCGTACGCGGCGTGAGCCTGCGTCGGGAGCTTCCGACTCACGCTTTGAAGGGCAATCTTCCGAGCCACGGATGCGTCGGTGGGGCAAGGCGCAAAGCGGCTTGGTTATGTGTAAGGGACTCGGCCGTGCGCCCAACGGCCTCGAGAAGCTTGGCCATGTTGCGATGCACGGAAGGGTCGTTCGGAAGGTACTTGAGCGCGTCCTCGCAATGACGAATGGCCTCCTTGAAGTGGCCGCGCTTTGCTTTCACAGCACTTAAATTGATGTGCGCAGGCCCAAACGACGGCTGTAGCGCGACCGCATTTTGGAGCTGGTCGTAAGCGTCGTCGAGCTTGCCAGCCTGCATCAAGGCCAGTCCGAGCTCGTTGTAGTGGGCGGGCCCGCCGCGTTTCGTTAATAGCGCGATGCGCGCGACGCGCTCGTACTGCTCCGTGTCGCCCTTGGATTTGTACAGCACCGAGAGGTTGTGCAGCGCCTAGACGAATCCTATGGAATTCCATGCAAGGTTGAGTTGGGCAACGTACGTCTTCGTCCATTGGGGCCTTCTCCAGTCGCCCTTGAAAGTACGCGATCGCATCGTCACGCTTCATGCCGTCTGCTGCCGACGGTCCCGTCCGAAATCAATGCCCTTGTCCTAAATATAGCCTCGCAGAGCTGCCTCGCAGTGATGTGCGTGGCGTCCTACTGTATCCCAGGAAGCTTTTCACGAGTAGCTTGCATGGGCCTTCAGCGTGCCACAGCTACGTAGCGACCAGATCCTCTGCACGGCAAGAAGAACCGTGGACGACCGAGTACCTTTGCGAGGACCATCGTGAGCGTAGAAAGAGATGCACATCTTGAGATGGCTACTACGTCAACATCCACTGTACAGGAAAGGCTCGTGAGAGGTAGCTAGCAGAAAATCGCTTGCCGCCAACTTCAACCTCAGCGCACGCAACTTGGCGAGCTTCGATATTTTCCGGTATCCTCCGGATACGAGGCTTCGAAAAAAAGTGCTACATGGACGATCGGAGCGGCGATGGCCCGGGCCTCTCTCTGGACGAGCTCAAGAGCAACCTCTTCTCTACGCTGCAGAAGGAAGGCGCGATCGACCAGATTCGCGTATGCCGCCTTCGCCGTCGCCCTTGCTGAGCGCCATGTAGGTGCATCTGCGCACGACGTTTGTGCAGAAGCTCCAGAAGCGGTCCGCCACCATGCACGCGTCGACGCTCGAGTGCACGCTGCTTGAGAAGGTGGCCAACACGCTCCTCTGCGAGTATCTGCGCGCCAAGCAGCTCAAGCACACGCTCTCGGTGTTTCTGCCCGAAGTCGGCCCGCGCAACTGCGAGCTCGAGCCGGACATGGTCGCCAAGATGCTGCGACTGCCCTCGACACCGGCGTCGCCCGCTGGCCTCCTCGAGATGCTATCGCAGGTCGAACGATCCGCGTCTATCTCGACGCACGAGATGCAGACTCAAACACACGACGAAGACCGTCGGTACATCCTTGGTAAAGCAATTCCATCGACTCTTCATGCAGCATGAGGACGCATACTAGAGTCGGAGCTCCAGCGCATTGATGCCATGTACGTGGCACAGAGCCATGCGCAGAGAGAGCAACCGGCCAAGTCGTTTGAAGACCGCATCCTCCAGTACCAACAAGAGTATGATCGCATGGCCCAAGCCCACTTGGCCCACGAGGTAACGTCCTTAGACTCACAGCGGCGTCGGCACACGCCGTAGATAACGAGGATCCGCGACACGGAGATCGCGGCGATGCGCGTCGACGAGCGCAAGGCGTATCTGCACGAGATGGAGAGCGTCCGAAGCACGCTTCAGGCCGAGTACACGGCCAAGCAAGCGGCCTTGGACGAGGCCGAGCGGTCGCTGCACGTTGCGTACCTCGAAAAGCAGCGTGTACTTGGATATTATTGCATGTGCTTGCCTTGTCGAGCTCATGCAGAGTGATTAGCAAGCCGAGCTCGACTTGTTTGAGCTGCGCCAAACGCTCCTGAAGGAGATGGATACGGTGCAGACCAAGGATCGCGAGCTCACGTCCCTGATCGACGCCGAGAGCCGCAAGTGGCAGACAGAAAGTCGGCGTCTGGTCGTGCTCCAAGACAACGTCGCGGCCCGCGAGGCGCAGATGGTCGCCACGATTGCGCGCCTCGAAGAGGACAAGGCCACGTACACGGCGCACTGCGAGCGGGAAGCCGCGGCCCGGGTCGCGCGCCAGCAAG